ATGGATTTATTATAAGAAAACAATGGAAAATTAATATATTATCTTATAAGATAGAAAAATGGAAGAGAATTGGTAAAATGAATATAATTCTTAAAAGTTTTAATAATTCATCAGATTTAAATAAAGAATTTTTAAATGAGGTATATAATTTACGATTTATTATTTTATTAAATTATTTATTTAAATAAATCTTATTATTTTATAGTATAAACATCATTATAAATGCTATAGTCAAAATTATTTGAATGAAAATCTTATTAGATTATATGGATTTACTCAAAATCCAAATACTTTGAATTATATAATAATAATGGATTATGCAGAAAATAATAATTTAAGAAAAAATTTATCAAATATTGTTAATAATAATTGGATTACTAAATTAATTAAATTATATAAAATTATTATTGGATTAGATGAAATACATCAACAAAATCTTATTCATTGTGATTTTCATCATGGTAATATATTAATTGATATAGGAAATATTTTATCTATTAGCGATTTAGGATTATGTAAACCTATAAAATATTATCAAAAAAATGATATATATGGTGTTTTACCATTTGTAGCACCTGAAGTTTTAAGAAATCAAACTTATACTTTAGCTAGTGATATATATAGTTTTTCTATGATTATGTGGGAATTAATATCTGGAATTCCTCCATTTGATAATGAAGCTTATGATTTTCAACTTGCTTTAAGTATTTGTAAAGGTAGACATCCTAAAATTATTGAAAATACTCCACAATGCTATATTAACTTGATGAAAAGATGTTGGGGTGAAGATCCATTTAAAAGACCAAATATGTTAGAAATTAAAAATATTATTGAAAATTGGTATAAAAATATTAGTAATCCTTATTTTGATAGAAAATCAGAAAATGATATTATAGAGTTTTACAAAGCAGATAAAGCAAGAAATAATATTTTATTGAATACTACATCTCATCCACGAGCATATTATACAAGTCGTTTACTTAATTTTACTGAAAATTTAAATAAAATTTTAAATCAAAACACCAAAATTAGTCAAAGTACTGGTAATTATTATCATTATATTATAAATTTATAAAAATAAAAAATTTAAGTTTAATTTATATACTTTAATTTACAGAAACTTTAAATATTAAAGCTGATGAAATAAGTAGGTAATTTAAATTAAATATTAAATTATATAAACTTCAATTTTATTTTTTTTTATTTATATAGGTGATAATTTTTAAAGAGAATTATTAATATATTATTTATATAATTTCATTACAATATTTAAATTTTATAACTTTTCTGAAATTATTAATATATTTGAAATTTAGATATTTATACATATTTAAAGGAAATATATTAGTTTAACGCTATTATACTGCATGTTACCTGATTTCAAAGATCTAAAATTCTTTTGGCAATTTGGATTTTTTTCATACTAAATCGCTAGGAAAGCAGTTTAGTACCCAAACAATACATCGTATTACTCAATTTTTGTTCGTTGATCAATGAAAACTGTTTAGTTCTTTCATCAATATTAAATATTGAGAAAAAATAATTAATTTAAAACTAACTCTACGAATATTAGGCCGGGCAAAAAAATTTTTTAGAGTGATTTTTATGTTATTTGAAACTTGATATTCTTTTTTTGTCAGAAACTGTCATATAACACTCACTACAATAATGGTGGTAATATCCTTCATTTACCTTAATATTTGCGTAATACAAAACATAATATTAAATACATATAAAAAAAAATTATATATATATAAAAAAATACCGGGTGACCCGTGTCAATTATAAAATTTTATGTCACGAGAATCTAAAAATTTTTTTTTGCCCGGCCTTATACTGCGCCACTAAACTTTTAAAAATCAATCGCCGGAATATTCAAATATAGACAAACCGAAAAATATAATTTAGTTTCCGAAATTATATATGTATATATGGGTGCTTTGCAAAGCATTAAAAATATTTTTTACTTTAAATGAAAAATTTTTGATATTTAATATTTAAAAAAGATTGTTTGAAAAAGTCAAAATTTGTATTTAATCTTTTGACCAGGAGAATATATTTAATCAAATTGCTAATTCTTTTATGTTAATATACTCCCAAGATTATCACGCTGATAATCTTATTGTCCTAAAATAAATAATACAGACTTAATTTTTGACGGAATATAAAAAACATACATAATTTCGTTAGTAATAATTTCAAGTTAAAAAATTATTTCATTATCCAAGTTTTAATAGGAATACTATATGGATGAATGAATGGTTTTGTTAGATCCAATACAACGTTACATATTATTTCGTAAAATTCGTACCATTACCGTACCGGTACGATGATTTCGTATTGGTCACGCGTCTCGACGTCGAAAGAGAAATTTGGAAAAAAAATAAAAAAAATTCGAATAATCAAAATCGTATTAATAATCAAAGTTTTGTTATTAACGTTTATATTTATAAACAAAGGATTGGTAAACGAAGATTAATATTAGATAATTATTATATAAATTATTAATAAAAATCAATTGATCAAAGTACTGCCTCATTAAACTAGACAATTACAAAATACTAAATTATATTATAATATAAAACTTAAAGAAGTGAAGGGAGAAGATCGAACCTGTCTATAATTACCCTGTATATATTCACATCATAATATACCCTTTTATAATCACGTCTATATTTAAATTAAAACCAGTTATTAATAAGCACATATGTGAAAAAATTACAATGTGGCCAAATGCTGTAAATATATGCAAGGCTGTTACTACTTTGAATTCACGTTGAAAGGTTATCATATATATATTTTCTTGTTCCAAGAACAGTTTATTTGGATTACGTGATTCATAAGTAACATGACATTCAGTCGATTTGGAGGACACTTTGGTCAGGGAAACATAATGTTCTGAGATCTCTTTAGGACATATTGAACTTTTCAACGACAACAACAACAAAAAAATCCTAGAAATAATAAATACGAAATAAAAAAAAAATTAATAAAATTGATAAATTAATATTCGACCAATATCCAATGAACATTATTAGTTACATATTTTTAAATTTTTTTAATATAAACGAAAAACCCATGACAATAGATTTTCCATTTATCCAATTTTTTTATTTTGGGAACATGAAATTCTCGGTTATTCTATCGTCATAAAAGATTTAATTTACATCCCAACAAATTTTTCGTTGTGATGAAATAACTTCTGAAACATTCAAGAAAAAATTTCATTTCAATTTAAACTTTTCCGCAATTAAGCTTACATTAGAGATGATATAATTTTATATGAAAATCTTCATCGGGAAACAGTTTCCTAGCAAATCAAACCAAAAACTTTAAGAATATATAACGAATATTGGAATCTTGGATTGTAAAGTCTTTATTCAACAATAAAAAAAAAATATCGGTAATAGCTCCCTTTGACCCACGACAAGTAATTTTGAAACAACGATAATCCAATTATCGTCTCCACATTATTGTGCAATGTCGTTATTACCGTAAATAAAGTAATTCGAGGATTGTTGAAGGCCATGATAGTTGTGTTTAATAATTATCTTGGAAAATTTTTATTTGCTCGAAAGAATCTTCTTTTTATACTTTAATTTTTGAGTTCAATTGAACGTATTCCGTTCAATTTGGTCTAGTTCAAAACGTATTTGTTGTAGTTTTATCTGGTGCGATCAGCACAAAAAATGAAGCATTGTACTGTTGTATTCAGTTCTTTCGTTTATGTATTTATAAACAATTTTGCAATGTACGCAGAAGGTATTAACGAAGTAATTGTGACAAGTATTTATTTAATAATATCAAATTAATCATATTGCCTCAACGTCGGCGCTCTACACTTTCGCATTTTCAATATATTAAATTATGTAAATGCCAAGTAATAAAAATTTTATTTAATTAAAACTGCGCAAATACGAAATAATTACATAAACATTGAATAATAAACTACTAATAAAAATCGGAAATTAAATATAAAACAATAAACGAAATTACAAATGCGAAAATTATAAAGATAAATCGGCGAAATAGAAATTATCGCGAAAGTGTAAAAAGGAGGATTTCGAAGGAATGTAGATCAAAGAAATATCACAAGGGCGAGCGTGGATATTAGGATTTCCAGCTCGGTATATATAAAAAAAATAATTAAGCCTGCCTGGCAACTTGAACATTTGTCATACTGGCACCTTGACAACCTGGCAAAATATCATCAAAAAGACTAACTGTGAATATCGAAAGCGATTTACATGAAGATTTCGGTCGGAATTATAATTGTAACAGTACCTTGAAGTATTTTAAACTTCACTTAAAATGATTGCCAAATGATCGTGTAACACCAGCTATCTACATTGTTATAAAACCCTTTTTTTTCAGTAGTAAATTCTTTCAAATGTATTTTTTTCTTTTTTTTTCTTTTAAACAAAATGCCTTGTGACGTTCCTGCTGACTGTTTAAAAGAAATTTTTGAATATTTTAAAGATAAGGACTTACGCTCGTGCTTACAAGTAAACCGACTTTGGTGTGCAACTTCCGTTCGAATTTTATGGAGAAAAATTCAAAATTTTAATACTTTACTCATTTGTCTTCCTAATAAATCAAAAACAATTTTATCTGAATGGAGTTATAATTTCGGACTCAACTTCAAAACCTCCATTATTTTATTATACAACATTAATCAAGAGTCTTCAGATTGATGATATTTGTAATTCAATTAAAAGATTTAATAAACTCCGTCTTCCTATTAATAATCTAGAAAGCTTTGAAAAGAATCAACAAACTACGGCGATAATAACACGGGAAATATCTAATATGTTAATGAATCAAACCTCTCTGAAACATTTAGATTTTTAAAATGGTATAACAACAGAAATATACCATTTATCAACTATCCTGGAGGAGAAGATTGTTTAAGAGATCTTTCTGAATTGAAGTGTTATTCAAATACTTCTCCTGAATTTTTGTATAAACTATCTCGAATTTGTCACAATTTACGATCCCTAATGATAACTTTTGGAGGTTACGTCCCAAATGGATTAGCAGAATTAGTTTCTGTTCAAAAACATATAAAGTACTTGGAGTTGAATGGCTATTTGAAAACAACAATTCAACCATTTACAAAATTTCCTAATACATTAACCAAGTTGCGCATTGTTGGATGTTTTCGTATACCATGGTCACTAATTTCGGAACTTTCGAATTTACAAGAACTTTCATTATCATTAATTAACGAAATAGGTGGTTTAAAATGTTTTAATGAACTTCAAGATGCTGCCTTTCCTCAATTGCAAATTTTAACATTTGGATTTGAATGCCAGACGATGAATACTTAATTAAATTCTTGGAAATTAATGGAAATAATCTAAAGGAACTTAGTCTTTACAAAAACATAGCCTTGAATGGTTCATTAAATTTAAAATTAGGAAAATTTTGTCCAAATCTGAGGTCGTTACGCATTGTATTTCCAAATGGAGACATAGTACCACTGAAAGGAATTTTTAATAGTTGTCAACAATTAGAATGCATAGAAATTTTGCGTTCCTTATTCTTTTTAGAAGAGCGTGAATTGTTAGAGATTGTTGTAGATTTTTCACCTAAAAAGATTTATAAGTTATCAATTGATTTGGCATTATGCAACATAGATCCAAAAACAACATTTCAATGGGGATTAAGGTCTATTTTGGAACGTTGTGCGAATCGTGTGCCATGTATTCCTCTTTCTTTTATTATTAATTCGAGTTCAAATTTGGGTATAAGACTATCAAAAAGTAATATCAAAATAATTGAAGAGTATATATAGAAAATTGGGCGCTATTAAGGAATTCAAATTTGGTATATTTTTATTTTAACGTAATTATTTTATGGATTAATCATTATAAGATTATGAAACATAGAATTCTGTTTGTAATTATTAAATAAAATTATGACATTGTGACGTGTTGAAATCAATAAATTTCTGTAGAACCGGTACTTATAAAATTTTGACTTTAAAACCATTTCTAAATAAATAATTCAAACCTTTTTGGTTTAAAATATCCGATTTGGACCTGTTCAAAGGTCAATTCTCATAATTATAAAATTTTCTTTTTTTATACAAAAAATTCTACTTTTTGTGTGAATCTGATACTGCAACGTACAATTTTTAGTTGATATATACAGTATTTCCAAAATAAAAAAATTAGAATATTTATGGGATTAGAATAATTTCAATTTAGATATCTAAAATCATATTAGAAAATCTGAAATTAAGTTTTAAGATAAATTTGAATTCAGACATATATCTATAATAAAATAATATTAAAATTATGAATTTATTTTTTTTGTAACTTTTATTTATTTATAAAGATGAATTTATAATTTAAATTCTGTTTCTGTTTGAAAATAGAATATTCGAATATATGTTTGCTAATTAATATTTAAAGATTCAAATATTGAAATCTTAAAATTGATTTTAAATATCCTAATTTCAAAGATTTCGATTAGCTAGATTAGAACTGTATTAGACTTCTCTAGAGTTAGTAATCTCTTAAATTATAAGGACCAGTTAAGGACCACTTAACATCCCTAGTAAATACAGTTAACTGTCAACTTAATTATAATTTATTTTATTAAACTTTGAATATTAATAAAAGTTGTCTAGTTGCATTATAATACTTAATTAAGAGATATATGCATATTTAGCAAAACATTAATTTTATTAAATAACCTTTATTTATTTTAATAGATATTATTTTTAATGCTCATAAAAAATTTGATTTGTTTTAAAGAAAAAATTATTATTCTTGTACTTAATATGTTTAATTAAATCTTTAGGAATTAGATACCTCAGTTATTAAAGTTTATGTCTACCTATATAGAAAAGGAAAAATCTACAAATTTTGAGTAATATTTAGTTGTTAAACTAGTTTTATTTATATGACCATGATCAGCAAGTTTAAGCAAAAATCTGAGCTGATTTAAATTTCATTTTAACTAACCTGAAAATTCTATAACCAAAATTTATTATATTTTACTAGTTTTATAATATATAAAAAAAAGTTAAAATATAAAAGAATAAGATAATACAATTTTTAATTTATTTAAAATATTAAAAATATTATACTTCTTGAGTTACATCAACTTTCTCTATAATTTAAGTAGTAAAATTTCTTAAAAAAAAATTACTACAATAAATGTATTAATCTCTATCTTTATTTACTTCAAGCTTAGTTCATTTAAGTTTATCCTAAAAAAAAGAAATGTGTAAAAAGAATACATTTTTAAAAGAAATCTACTGAAAGAGAACTTATCTATTAAAGAAAATGAAAGATCTGCTCTAAAAAAAAAAAGTTTCTAAAAAAAATCTTTTAAGAATCTATAGAAGCTTTTCTATCTAAAGGAATAAAAGATTTGCTTTCTAAAAAAAAGAAGAAAAAAATTAGTTAATAAGAAATCTTTTTAAAGAATCCTAAAAGAAAATAATAAAATAAAAGTATTGCTTTTTAAAAATTAGTAAGTAAAAAGAAAAAATCTCTAAAAGAAATATTTACCTTAAAATCTAAAAAAAATGTTTTATATAGAAGAATAAATAATAAAAAAATTAAATTAAAAACTGATAATAAAATAATTAAAAACTGAAAAATTAAATTAAAAAAATAATTATATATTAAAAATTTAATTAAATAAAATAAATTATATCTAATTCTAATTTGCAATATATAAAAATAGAATTGTATTTGTGTTATTTTTTCTCATTTTAGCTCTTATAATAGATATATTTATATGTTAATCATTATCACCTTTTAGAAATAATAATATATAATACAAAAAATTATAAAAAGAAAATAAAACAAATATTTTCTGTAGATATTCTTCATATTTATTAAGTAATTATTATAATTTAATAGTTTAATATCATATCTATTTTTAATTATAAATATACAACATTAGAATATATAGACACTTTGTATTATATAAATATTTATATGATTACTATAAATTATTATGAAAATATCAAAAGTTTCAGATATTTGTATAATATTCTATATCTATCTGAAGACTATATATAATAATTAACTATATTAAGCACATTTTGCAAGCTTTATAAAATTATTACATTTATATATTATATAATATAAAGTTAATTCTTCATTTTAATTTTAGTGTTATAAGTATATAGATAAGCAAATTTAGTTATTTGTCTTTATTTAACAATAATGAATTAATAAAATAATAAATCTAACTATAAATAGCAAAATTAAATTTCAAAATTCTTTATTCATATTAACTTCAAAAATGTGTAAATTAATAAAATATTGTAACTTCTAATATTTTTGAAAAAGGATTAGCTTTAGATTTAAATAAAGTATAAAGATTCATTAAATAAAAGTAATTTAAGTAAAGATGGTAATTTGATTTTAATATTACCATAATATATAGTAAAAGTTGAAAAAATATGGTTATTGTACTAATTATTTTCATTCATCTAAAATTTAGAATATAAAGCTTATCAATTTTTCAAAATTGTAATATTTTATATTATTGTCATTTTGCCTGTATATAAGATTTATATCTGTTATATATCTGGTCTTTATCTTTTTATAATAAGTAATTTGACATTTTTATGTAATTTTTTTTCATTGATCATGTCTTTTACTTTCAAATATTTTCTGTAAAAAAGCCATATTTATTTTAATATTATAAATATTATGATATGTATATTAAATATTATATTAATAAAATTTAATGCAAATTTTATTAAATATATAAAAATAAATGTTGCAATACTATGAAATATAGTATTTATTTATATAGATTTATATAAATTTACAAATTTATTCTATAAGTAATTAAAAAAATACTAAAAAAAATATCTATTATTAAAAAAATTATACCTATTGTTAATTAAATAAAAAGAAAACCTCTTAAAAAAAATTTATTAAATTGATTTATTATTACAAAAAAATTCATATAATAGATATACTGTATAGTCCTAAAAATAAGTATCACCTGATATATATGAATTTATTAGTATATATATGACTAATAATATAATAAATTCCATGTGATAAATAAATAAATTACTATAAAAGGAGTATGTCATAAGGTGCTTATTTTTGGAAATATACAGTATGTTTATTTATATACAATAGAGGCTTGCAATAGATTATATCTAGTATGAAAACTTAATTTAAACCTGAGTTCTAGACTAGATCTAAATTAGCAAAATAAGTTTAGAATTTTTTAGACCAATTTTAGATTCAAGAGACCAGTCCAGATTTTTTTATAATTTTGGTAAAAATTATTATTTAATTAAATTTTAACTATCATTGATTATATAAATTAAAGTAAATTTATTTATCGCAAGAGGTAATACTTCTATATATCACCTTTATATATATATCTTACTCTAATCCTAATACTAACTTTAACTCTAACCTAATTCTAAATTATGTGATATAAACATATATTACAAATAGGATTTCACACATAAAAAAATTTCTAAGTTCCCAGAATATATATGAAAAATGAAAAATGGAGGGAGTATGACATGGGTGATAAAAAGAAGGTAATGATATCACGCCTGTAATGAATATATTTACTCTATAAATTATTATTATTTTGATTATTTTAAATTTTTTAAAATAAAATAAAAATATCAAAATTAATAACTGGGAAAATGTTTTAAAGTTAAAAAAACAAGAATTAAAATATCAAGAAAAATATGACAAAAGTGAAGTTTAGATGAATTTTAATGAAATTATTAATATAAATGATCAATTTATTGATTTTGTTATATGTAAAACTTGTGAATATATATTTAAATATTATTATAAAGCTAGTACCTCTACTTAAAATGTCACAATTATCTTTTTAATAAAAAATAACAAAAAATCATTTTATATTTATTAAAAAAAAATTTTCTTACAGTTGCTAAAGATATAATTACTAAGAAATTATAGATTTTATATATAAAGAATTGCATCAATTAAAATCATTTCAGGCTAAAATTTTAGAGACTTTTCTTAAGAAATGATTAATATCAGTTTTACATATAAATTTTTACAAATTAATAATTTATTTCTACATTTAACTACTATTTTTAGAAATATTATAAAAAATGCAGAATCTGTTAAATCAAATTTAATATTAAAATTAAAAGATATTTTTAAAATTGTAAGTGATGCATTTACTATCAATATGTAAACAGATTATTATAGAAAAATTAGTTATATTTTACTTATAGTTCATTATATTGATGAAAATTGGCAAATTAAAAAATAAATTTTAGCTGTATTTAAATTTCTAAATATTAAGCATTTAGTTAAATATATTAAAAAAATAATATTAAGAATTTTAAAAAGTTATAATCTTATATTATATATTATAATGAAAAATTATACATTTATTACTAATTCTGGTTTTAATTTTATTTCTGCATTTAATAAATTAAATTATATACTATACTTTATATATATGTAAGAATTTATTCTTTTTTAATTTAAAAATATAAATAATATTTTATATAATTTTTTATTTATTTTTATAAAATTAATACAGATTTAGGAAATTCTTTTAAAGATATAATTTTTCTTTAGTAAAAAATATATTTAAAGAATATAAATCATTAATTACATATTTAAATATTCTTCCTTAAATATAAGATTAGAAAAACTCTTAAATAAGAAGTAGAAATTTGTTAAAATAGTAAATTAGAAATGTTAAAATCAATTTAAAGCAATTACAAAACTTTTTATAGAAAGAGATAAACTTGAACTAATATAAAATATTGATATAAATTTTATATAAATTTTAATTAAT